GGGGGGGGGGGGGGGGGGGGGGGGGGGGGGGGGGGGGGGGGGGAGAGAGAGGCAGAGAGAGATGGGGGTGAGGGTTAGCGACGGAATAAGATAGAGGGAGGTAAAGTAAAGCAGGGGAGGGGGGGAGAGAGAGAGAGAGAGAGATGGAGAGAGATGGAGATGGAGAGAGAGAGAGAGAGTAATGGGGAGACAAGGAGGGGGAAAGAGGCATCAGGGAGAGAAAGAGCAACAGGAAAAAAAAGCAAAGGCTCGAAAGAAAGAAACCCAGAAATTCACAAAAGACAAAGCTATTCCTACCATTGCTCCTCTGTAGTATGCAGTTGTGATGGTTTTAAATCTTTCCTGACCAGCCGTATCCCTAAAAGTGAAGTCAATGAAAAAAAATTAACACCAGGACGGAAGACATGGGGTGGGGGCGGGGACGAGGAGAAGGATGGACAGATACCAGATTTCCCAGGGCATATCAATACATGTATTCACATTTATTTGCTCTCACTTCTCCTCCATCCCAGATCTCCGCACTCCTCCAATTCTGGCGTCTCACGCATCCCCCAGTTCCCATCGCTCCACCCTTGGCGGCTATGCCTTCAGCTGCTTGCGGCTCTAAACTCTGGAACTCCCTCCCTAAACCTATCTACCCCCTCTTTCTATCTCCTTACCTCTAAAGCCCCCGACACACCTGTAGGTGGACGTCCCTTTAACTCATTCAAGGCTTAGAGTGCAATTCAATACCCTCCACAGAACAGCAAGTCTCAAGACCCCACAATCAGTCAATACTCACCAGACTTGCAACTTTATTTTCTTCCCACCAACGTCCACAGTTTTGATCTTAAAGTCGATACCTGAGGAGATAGGGGAAGATTTTAAACAAAATTACAGGGGTGGGGGGGGAGGGGGAGCATGGGTAAGGTGAGGAAAGATCTAAAGGGCTACATTTTCACACAGAGGGTGGTGCATGTATGGAACGAGCTGCCAGAGGAAGTGGTGGAGGTGGGTACAATTACAACATTTGAAAGGCATCTGGATGGGTATTTGAACAGGAAGGGTTTAGAGGGATGTGGGCCAAATGCTGGCAAATGGGACTAGATTAATTTAGACACAAAAACAGAAATTGCTGGAGAAGCTCAGCAGGTTTAGAAGCATCTGTGGAGAGAAATCAGAGTTAACATTTCGGGTCATCGAATCATAAAGCAGGCCATTTGGCCCATCGAGTCCACACCAACCCTCAAAAGAGCATCCCATCCAGACTCACACCCCACCCCCATAAAGGTGGAGTGACTCTTCCTCAGAACTAGATGAATTTAGGATATCTGGTTGGCATGTAATTTGGACCGAAGGGCCTGTTTCTGTGCTGTACAACTCTACGGCTATGATTGGCTTGAGGTGGAAAACAGAGGACCTCGAGGGTTGGGAATGATAAGCCATTGGGATGAGTGAGTATGTCTCTAACTGAAATATTACCTTGTTTCCCTCCTCTGATACAAAGGGCAGGATATGGCATTACAGAGATAACACGGCGTAGAGCTGGATGAACACAGCAGGCCAAGCAGCATCAGAGGAGCAGGAAAGCTGACGTTTCGGGTCGAGACCCTTCTTCAGAAATTATGGCATTACAGTTATGTTACTGGACTGGTAATCTGGAGTCTCAGGCTAAAGTTCTATAGACATCGGTTCAAGTTCCAACTATTGTGAAATTTGAATGCAGTAAAATTCTAGAGTGAAAAGCAACTGGGTAACCACGGTTGTAAATAACCGTCTGATTCACTAATGCACTTTTGGAAAGATAATCTGATGTCCTTACCCGAATCCAGAATCACAGCAATGGGGTTAACTCCTAATTGCATCCCCTGGGCAATAACTAGTGGGCTAGCCAGCAATGCCAGACCGAAAGAATCATTACCAAAAGGCTGATAATACACAGACTGTCGGGCAATTAAAAGAAGCAAAAATGGGATTATTAGGCGTTGCTTTTGCCCAGCACAGACTCAATGGGCCGAAGAACTTTTTACTATGCTGTAGACCCCAATGATTTTTCTGCAGGTTTGATGTCACATGAAGGCCAGACCAAGTAATGATAGCAGACCCCCTGACAAGTGAGAGAAAAGCTAGTTTTTAATTCCTGATTTTAAATAAAAATTCAACTTAAATTTCACCATCTGCCATGTTGGGGTTTGAACCCATGTTCCTAGAACATTAAAATAAAACAAAGAACTCTCGCACTTCTGCCCTCAGCCCTTCCCTTCCCTCCTACAATGATAGGGTGCCCCTGGTTCTCAACACTCTCCACATCCAATTGTGAGCCACCATTTCCGTCACCTCCAATGGGATGCCATAACCAGAGACATATTTCTGTCTCCTCCCATGTCGGCATTCTGCAAGACCTGTTTCCTCTGGGACACTCTGTTTCACTTCTTGTGAATTGCTAACATTTTCTCATGTTCCCCCACAACAGCTTTCTATGCAATCGCAGGAGGTCTAATAACCCTGCCCTCCCTCCTCACCATCCTAGGCCCCAGACATACCTTCCAGGTGAGGTGGTGAGCTACCTACACTTCACTCAATCTAGTCTACTGTATTCGCTGTTCACAATGTGGTCTCCTTTACGCTCAGGAGACGAAAGGCAGACCGGGTGACCGTTTTGCAGAACGCCTACGTTCTGTCTGCAAACATGACCCTGAGCTTCTAGTTGCCTGCCACTTCAACACACCACCACACTCCTTGGCCAACATTTCAGTGTTGCGGCAAACCTCAGTGCAAGCTCAAAGAACATCTCATATTCTACTTGGGGACCCTGCAGCCTCTCAGAGCCAGCATCAAATTCAATCACACTTGAGCCTGATTTCGTCCTTCCGTGTTTATTACCCACCTCACGCTCTGTCCTGTTACGACATAAGTTGCTTTCAGCACAGACTACCCATTCTCTCATAATCCTAGACCATTATCACAGAACGTAGAATTGTACAGCACAGGAATGGGCCCACGATGTTGCACCAAACATGACGCCACAATAAAGTAATCCCTTCTGCCTGCCCTTGGTCTATATCCCTCTATTCCTTGCATATTGATACACTTATCTAAAAACCCCTAAAATGCCGCTATCATATCCATCACCACCTCGGGCAGCATGTTCCAGACTCCTACCATGGTCTGTGTAAAAAAAAAAAAATTGCCCCTCAGAACTCCTTTGAACTTTTCTCCTCTCACATTAAATGCATGCTCCCTAATATTAGACATTTTAACGCTGGGTTGCATTCAGTACAACTCACCCATTGTCTCCTACTCTTAGCCCTTATTATCATTTATTCAGCTTTTCCTTTTTACACTCTAATCTATTTTTCTAACCAACCTGTTCAGAGATGTTATGACACACCTTTGGAGCAGATGTAGTAGAGTCATACCACACGGAAACAGACCCTTTGGTCCAACCAGTCCATGCCGAACATTATCCCAAACTAGACTAGTCCGACCTGCCTGTTTCTGGCACATATTCCTCAAACATTTTTTACTCATGTACTTATCCAAATGTCTTTTAAATGTTGTAACTGTAACTGCATCTACCACTTCCTCTAGCAGTTCATTCCACACACGACCCACCCTGTGTGAAAAAGTTGCCCCTCATGTCCTATTTAAAACTTTCTCCTCTCACCTTAAAAATATGCCCCCTAGTTTTGAACTCCCCCACCTTAAGGAAAAGACCCTTTTGCTATTCACCTTATCTGTGCACCTCATGATTTTACAAACCCCTACAAGGTCGGACTTGAACCTGGGCCTCCTGGTCCAGGAGTAGGGACACTACCGCTGAGCTTTTCTTCTGTCCCTGTCTGCTTCCATAATCCCCTTGAAAACCTACCCCTTTCATATCTTTCTCTCTCTCTCTGTCTCTCAACTCCAATTCCCCCTCTCCCCTCCTTCCCCAACTTTAGCCTAAGCATAAATATCATGTTTTTCCCAGCAACTAACAGTTCAGTCTCCTGGACTCGAAACATTAATTCTGCTTTCTTCCCACAGATCCTGCCAGACCTACTGAGTTTCTCTGACCATTTCTGTTTTTGTCCCTAGAACATTAACCTCGGATTCTGGATTGCTGACATGACTACTACACCTCCCCTTTGCAGCAGAAGGAAGGTACAAGCTAACGTTTTAGTTAGAGTCAGATTCCTTCAGTCAAGCCTGGGAAGCTAAACCCCTTGACCACACTTTAGAAAACACCCACTGTGATTTCCTAGAGGGTGCTATACAAATCCTACTCCTTTTTCTCAATTAAATCCCTTCTACAAGTCATAGAAAATCTACATCGCAGACGGAAGCCATTCAGCCCGTCATAGCTTCGTCAGTATAAACAGGTCTGGCAGAATTAAACCCTCCGGAACTTTTCTTTATTTCTTTGGAAAAAAATTTTAAGCAAGTTTGAGATGCTTGCTCTCATTGCTCAGACCATTGAGTTTAGGAGCTGGGATGTCGTGTTGCAGTTGTACAGCACGTTAATGAGGTACTTCTGGAGCACTGTGTACACTTCTGGTCGTCCTATTATACTAAGGATAGTGTTAAATTGGGAGGGGTTCCAAAAAGATTTGAGAGGACGTTACCAGGTCTGGAGAGTTTGAGATATAACAGGAGGCTGGATAGGCTGGGGCCTTTTTCACTGGAGCATCGGTGGTTGAGGGGTAACCTTATAGAGGTTTTAAAAGCACCAGGGGCATAAATAAGGTTAAAAGCAACTTTTTTTTTGCCTAAGGTTTGGGAGTTCAAAACTACAGGGCATAATTTTAAGATGAGAGGAGAAATTAAAAGAGACTTAAGGGTCGTTTGTATGTGGAATGAACTACCAGAGGAAGTAGTAGCTACAGGTACAGTTACAACATTTAGAAGACATTTGAACAGGAAAAGTTTAAAGGGAAATGAGCCAAATGCAGGTGAATGGGACTAGTTTAGTTTGGGAAACTTGTTCGGCTTGGATGGAAGGGTCTGTTTCTGTGCTGTACATCTCTATGGTCTTTTGTCATGAAAAACACAATGTGTTGGCCAAATCCTTGGAACAAAGACAGATGAAACTTAAATCAGAGCTAAGCAATATAGGATACAACGGAAATCAGAACTAGGGACAAGAGGAGGCCATCCAGCCCCTTGAACCAGCTCCACTATCAATAAAGTCATGGCTAATTGGTTTGTGGCCTCAACTCCATCTCTCTTCCTGCACATCCACCATAACTCTTGACTCCATTGTCCACAGAAACGTGTCTATCTCAGCCTTGAATATATTCAATGATGAAGCCCCCACCGTTCTGTGGAGAGAGATTTCCACAGACTCACGATCCTCAGAGAGAAGAAATTCCTCTGTCTAAACGTCAGATGGAATAACTCCTTGTTAAATGGGAAAGCTGTTATTCCGAAGCTGGCACCTTGTTGCACATTCCGCCAGCGGGGGCATCATCCTCTCAGCAGTGGCTATCCCCCTCTGCATTGTCACGTGTGCTCAAAATAGTTAACGCCCTAGCACTGATCCCTGTCATATTCCACTAATTACAGTTTACCAACTGAAAATTACCCGCTCATCAAAATTTTTCATTTCCTGTTTGTCAGCCAATGCTCTATCCACTATAATAATAAGTCACCCACAGCACCATGAGAGCTTTTCTCTTGTGCAGTAACCTTTTATGTGAAACCTTATTGGTATGGTGGCTCAGTGGTTAGCATTGCTGCCTCACAGCACCAGGGACCCAGATTCGATTCCACCCTCGGGCAACTGTGTGTGGGGAGTTTGCACATTCTCCGTGTCTATGGGGGTTTCCTCTACATGCTCTGGTTTCCTCCCACAGTCCAAAGATGTGCAGGTTAGGCAGGG